CAGAGACATTGAACTTAAGAACAATCCCGACAGTGACCAGAGGGGAGGTGCGAGGGGACAATGGGGATGAAGAGGGGAAGGGTTTTCAGGAACAACCATAAAGGACACACGGACAATACCAAGGGGGGTGGGATCAGGGGAGGGAGGTGGGATGGCTGGGGTGGGGAGGAGTGATGGGGGTGGTAAATGCAGACAACCGTACTTGAACAACGATAAAATAATTAAAAAAAATTAGAGAGCTTCTCAACTTTGTTTCTGGGAGGTGATTATCGTCTCTGGGAATATGCTGGAAGTCCTGGACTGTGCTCGTCTGTTTCAGTGCGACTTTAGGGGGAGTTCAGGGACCCTGGCCGTCGAGTGTCGACGCCAGGTCACTGGAGTTGGGAAAGCACGGCACACGGGGCCTGAGTCACCGCGTGGTGTCCATGTTCTGGCGGGCTCGGGAGCTCAGTGGGAGCCGGGCGTGTTCGAGAAGGTGAAGGAAGTCTTTACTACTTCTCGAAGGTGGGTCTGGGACTGAAATTGTAAATGAAGAAGATCCTCTGTGAGTAGAACACGTAGGACGTGGAAAGACAAAAGTCATCTTGTTCCAGGAAACTGGAGAGGGTAGCCCACTTGCCGCAGGGCTGTTCTGGCCTTTGTGTGTGATAAAGAAAATGTGTTAGGAATCCCTGTTCATACTTTTGTCTCTGCTCCCATTATCTGCTGCCCACCTCTGATTTTGCGCAGTTTGATGTAGCCGATGCCAAGTGTTCCAGGCCCCTGAGCCTGGCCAGCAGGATGAGCGTGGTCTTCGAGGCGCCGTGCTGCCACCTGCTCTGCCCAGCCTCTGGCCCTGCGGTGTCCCCAGCGGCTGTCCGCGGTTGGCAGAATGATGGCCTCCCGAGGTGTCTGTGTCCTGATTAGGACTAGAACTGGTAAAGATGTTACCTTATGTGGCAGAAGGGACTTTGCAGATGTGACTAACTAAAGGATCTTATAATGGGCAGATTATTCTGAATTAGTCAGGGGGCACCCAGTGCAATCACAAGGGTGTTTGTAAGTGGAAGAGGGAGGCAGAGGAGGAAGCAGAGACAACAAGGCCTCCTGAGGAAGACTCAGCCGCCAGTGGCTGGCTTCGGAGGCCGAGGGAGCTGCTGTGGATGGTAGGCAGTCTTTCAAAAGCTGGACTGGACAAGGGAATGGATTCCCCTCTGCAGCGTCGGAAAGGAACACGGCCTTATTGACTCTTCGGTTTAAGTTCAGAGAAACCAACCCAAACTTCAGATCTTTGGAACTGTAAGATAATAAGTCCGTGTTGCTTCAAGCCACCAAGGTTGTGGTCCTCTGTTAATAAGCAGCAAAAGGAAACTCATACAGTGTGAAGCAAGTGTACTAGGGGAATGAGAAGGAGGCGGGAGGTGGAGGGGACGGAGCTGGTTTCTGCAGAAACTGAAGAGGCCGTCGCAGCTAACGTGACCCTGTGAGGTTTGTCTGACCATCCCCATTGTCAAGATCAGGAAACCGGGCTCTTTGGGAGCTGGCACAGACTGCAGTGGCCCCGGGCTGCTTCTAAAAGAGCCGTGCAGGATGCACCGCGCAAAAGGGAATGAAAAGAAGTCCAGTGTTGTTGGTGCCACCCGGCCTTCTCTCCCTTCTTGTGGACCGACTCTGGGAAACATCCAACATGTATCCCTCTTCTGTGCTGGGGCCAGGAATGGGAATATCTCTGAGTGGGGGTTGGAGCAGGGACAGGGGGCGTCTCTCCCGGTGGAGGCTGCTCAGACGGGGAGACAGAACAAGGAGACCAGTGAGAGCCGGCCCCGGGACCTTGAGATACAATGTTAGAGCACACTTTGAGGCGTGGGAACAGCGGGCACCCCGCTTATCACTTCATTGCTCACCATGTTTTTCCAACTCCTCCACATTCTGAAAATGCTATTAAACTTACACTGTACTCCCTACCAGCTTGTTCCTTGAAAGTAAAGCATGCTCGTGCTGTATGGATCTGTTTTGAGCCTTTGAACAAATGCGTTAAAGGCATCCCCAGAGGGCGATGAGAAAGACCACCCCTTACCTCGCGGGTAGGTGTGTGTGCTGATGATGGTCAAGCACCTTGGCAGTACACATCAAGTGTTTACCGTAAGCTCCTGTCTGTTCCTTACAATAAAGGGCAGAAAACTGGAACATGCCTAGATAGAGGACTTGAGGTGCCTGGTAAATAAATTATGGTTTACCGCACCCAATGGAAGATTCCAATGCGCTAGAAAGGGGTGCTAACAAAGAGTTAAAGAGCCCGAAGAAATATGCAAACAAAAGAAATCAGTGTATGAAATTGTATCTAGCATGATATCAGCTGTGGAAAAATGTGGGGAGCAGGAGGAGAGAAAATAAGCAGGGCTTCTGGATTATAGGTGACTTCATGGCCTCTCCTTTGTACTTGACTGTCTGGATTTTTCACATTACATTTGAGATATGGTTAAAGGAGCTTCATATCTTTGACTTCATAAATTTACTTCTGGGACTCTTTCAAAAAATAATTGTAAATACAGATTATGAGCTTCACACACAGAGATGTTCCTTTCATTTGTAGCTTTAAAATCTGAGATATAGTTCGCATATACCATGACATGCACCATTTAAAGCGTACAGTTTTTTAAAAAAGGTTTTATTTATTTATTTTTAGAGAGGGGGAGGGAGGGAGAAAGAGGGGGAGGGAAACATCCATGTGTGGTTGACTGGGGACCTGGCCTGCAACCCAGGCATGTGCCCTGACTGGGAATCGAACCGCAACCCTTTGCTTGGAAGCCCATGCTCAATCCACTGAGCTACGCCAGCCAGGGCTGTACAGTTTGTTTTTAGTATATTCACGAAGTGGTGTGACCATCACCACTATCTAGTTCTAGAACTTTTTATCTCCCCCAGAGGAAGCCCCGTCCCCATTAGTAGTCACTCCCATCCCTTTCCCCCCAGCCCCCGGCAGCACTGGTCTACTACCCGGCTATAGATTTGCCTGTTTTGGACATTTCTTATAGATAGGACCACACACATGTGGCCTTCTGTCTCTGGCTGCTTGAACTCAGCACCATGACTTCAAGGTCCATCCGTGTTATAGCCTGTGTCAGTACTTTATCCTTTTTAATGGCTGAATAACATTCCATTGTATGGATAGACCAGGTTTTACATATGCATTTATCACTGGCCAGCCCAGTTGTTTTCACCTTTTGGCTGTTGTGAGTAATGCTGTTGTGGACATTTTTGTGTGTGCGTGTGGGCATGCGTCCATTTCTTTTGGGTCTACACCTAGGCGTAGAATTGCTGCGTCATATGGAAGCTGTTTAACTGTTTAAGAAATTGCTGCCCCGGCTGGTGTGGCTCAGTGGAGTGAGTGCTGGCCTGTGAAGCAAAGGGTTGCAAAGGGTGAACTTAGAATATTTTCATAAGAGTTCTGAATTGCAGAGTGAGTGAGGCAGGCTCAGCAGTACTGTGAGGTCACTCTCCCACCTGCGTCTGCGAGTTCAATGAGGTCACGGATGCAAACATGCTTAGACGCTGCCTGCGACTGGGCACTTTTCTCTAGGCTTATTCGTGAATCTAGGATAGCGGAGGTGTGCTCAGGACTCAGCTCATCTTAGAGTAGCGTTGTCTTTGTTGTGGTTTTGTCCCATCTATGACTTGAATCACACACAAAATCCTGCTGTTACCTGCTTGACTTGGAACCAGACCACCGGCACAGGGTCCCTGACCCGTAAAGGAATTGTGCTGTGGACGTTGTGTTGTGGGACGGGACCGGCACATGAAAGGCCCGTGTGATGTTGTGGGGCTTTGAGTGCATCGCATGTGGGAGGATGCCCATGGTGACTTTTACCTTTGCATGTTTCTGTTTTGATACAGGCTCTAATTTAATTTCTTAAACCTATATGTTTAAAATGGAGACGAATTCCAATCAGTGCCTTTCTGATGGTGCTCATCAATTTCTAAATGCTACTGGGAGAGGCAAAGCCTTGTTGGCGGACCAGTTTAGGAGACTAACATGTTCAGAATTTATAGTGGTCTTGTGGGGCTTGGCCGTGGTTGTGGCCTCTCACTTTCCTGGGGCCAGGGACACAAACAGAGGATGTGGGAGGAGTGAGTGAGTAAAATTTAGGTTATCGGCTTCCCATGCATGTCAGTCCGTGCATTTATGGAGACTACCGAGTAGATAGCTGCCCAGACTCAGACAATTGCAGGTGTGGCCCGTTTTATACAAGAGCTGTCTTGTCAATCAGTGTGATGGTGAGGTGTGGGGAGGGGGAGTTCTACTGAAAGAAGCCCATCTGGAAACCTTTCCTTTACCTCTCTGTGTCAAACCAAGCTTTTAAATTAGCGTTACTTCAAGGAGAGAGGTCTGTAGACAACTTGCTTTTGTTGTTCTTCTCCAGAAAACAAGAAGGCCCCTTTCTGATCTTGATTCCCACTGCGCCAGGCACCCAGGCAGCAGTCAGTAGGCATCTCCTTGTATTGTTACCGCGCGTGCTTGGATTTTTGTGCTCGGTCAACTGTTGTGTTTCACTCCTTAACTCATGACCACCGGCCGTAGAAACATTACATTTTAGCTAGATCGCAGCTGCAATGTATGGCAATGGGGAGGGGGGACCTTTCGCAGGAATGGAGAACAAAGCGGGGCTGCTGTGCTGTTGCTGTGGAAGAGCCGCATTCCGCTGTCACCACCTCATTACACTTTACATGCGCTGCCTGGAAGAAGGTGCCTGTCTGACCTGTTCTGTAATGTTTGATATGCTCTTGCTGGTATTTAAAGTTGCACTATGAGACAGCAGTGACTTTAACTGTGAGTGTACTGATATTGTTATTGATTATTACTTAGGCAAAGGCAGTGATTTAATTTTCCAAAAGTTGGGGCCAAGACCAGTCAATGAAATAACACAGCATTTCGTATTAAAACCTGATTCTGGAGTTGACTCAGCAAACTTACACAAAATTGACCTGATCTTCAACTTTGCTCTTGTCATTTTATTTTGCAGGATAACAAAGCCACTAACCTTTGCTGATTGTGTTGGAGATGAACTCCCTTTAGGATGGGAAACTGTATATGATAAACAAATTGGAATTTATTACATGGACCACATAAATAGTAAGTAGAATGCCACATTTGAGTTATTATAAGTGAGTGAGTTTTCATGTTGATCTCAAAGATGCTAAAAACTCTTTTTGTAGAGCAAAATGATCTTGACTGCCCAGTGCATCATTAAACTGGATTTTATAAATGTAATCTGAAGTTTTCATTAGCTGACTCCTTAAAAAAAATGAAGCAGTTATGTAGCTGCTTTGCGTGTATGCTGCTGAGGACGGTCTGATGTATGTTTAATGGAGGGTCATAATATCTAACATAAGGAATATCTTTTCCAGACAGTTTGGACCTAGAAATACCTCTCATAAATGAAAAGGTTGGTTATCACGAAGTGGAGGCTTACACATTCTTGGAATAATTAACTGCCCAAGCGGTTACCCTAACTTCATTTTGGCTTGTACGTGTAACTGGAATCCATCAAACCTTTTTGATCTCCGAGAAGGGAGGGAATGGTGTCAAGACTACGGCTAAAACAGCGGGTCCCTGACCACACCCGCCTGCTCTGTAGGGCTCTTCAGAGCAGTGGTTCTTACCAGGGCTTATTTTGCCTTCCGGGGACACTAGGTAATATCTGGTAATAGTCAATTGTCACACACGGCAGAGGGGCCTCTAGGAGTCTGGCGGGGAGGGGCCAGGTACGCTGCCGAACCTGCAGTGCACAGCACGGGATGGCCCCACGGGGGAATGTGCCCACCCCAGATGTCAGGGTGCGGCGAGGGCGACACGCCTTGCCTCGCAGGCCCCATTTCATTCTAGATCTGTTCTCCACCGCTGACTCATTGCGGTGTTTCTGTCATTGTCCTTTTTACTAGCAGGGACATAAAGCATGGCTTCCCCTAACTGCGTTTTCTGTCCTCTGGTGTGTTAAGTGCGGGGCAGGCCGGAGAGCCCAATGATGCCCCATGCCCTCACATGAGTGACTTCGAAGCTCTTCCCTCACTCTAGTCCCGTGGCTAGTCCCAGTCCCCCTAGTGTGACTGGCCCAGGTTGGTGCCTTGAGGGTCAACTGCTTCATTGTCACTTGCCAAGTCACCCTGTGAATGGCAAACGTGAGTGGCGGTCATGTACTTCACAGAGTGGCCCTCCTGATATTTAATCTGAAACTCACACAGAATAATATTGAATGTAAACTGCAGTTGAAAAACAAAACAAAACAAAACATAGGGGTTTAGATACACATCATTCTCTGAGGATAATACTGTTGTCCACCTGATCTGGATTAGATAGTTAAATAATAAAGAAACACACTCATTTGTCACATTAAAAACTTAAAACTATTAATATGCATGGTGTTTATTCAAAGGATGCAAAACTGGTCTAATCTAGAGAATTACTAGTTCAAGCATAACTTCTTCAGTTACAATGGAAGAACAAGAAATGAGTTGTAGAAATTCTTAGTATTAATCTTAAATGCACATTTTTAATGAACAAGTTTTTTTAGTCATGACTTTCTCTTTCCCTTTTATGTTTGTTCTAGTTCTATTTATTAAAATTTAATTTTATGTTCATTGAATCAGATAATAAAAAATTTGAGCTAAAAAAAAAAAAAGAAACCTGAATGGCCAGGCTTCCCATGTCAGCCCTGGGGCCGTGCCATTTCTCATATGTGGCACCTGGCCTCGCGCTCTGGTGTAGCGCTTACCCAAAGATTGGGCACTCGGCATGGCTACTGCCCGGCCTGCCAGGCAGGAATCCGGGTGGCAAGAGGGCTTCTAGGTGGATTCACCACCCCGGGTGACCCGCTAGTGTGTCTTTGAGGTGTCTGGCCACCTGGGCTTGCTTTCCCAGCTGCTGGTGGGAGCACCCACAGTTGAGGGCCGCTCCTACGGGGGAGGGTAGTTCCCATAGGGGAGGGCCACTCCCACAGGCGAAGGCAGCTTGCACAGGTGAAAGCAGCTCCTACAGGTGAGGGCAGTTCCCACAGGGGAGAGCCCCTCCCACCAGTGAGGGCCGTTCTCACAGGGAAGGGCCACGCCCACAGGGGAGAGCCCCGCCCACAGGGGAGGGCAGTTCCCACAGGTGCAGGCCACTCCCACAGGTGCGGGCTGCTCGGCCTGGTCGCTGTGTTCTGGGCCTGCGCACCACAGAGCTTCAGCTCCAAGCTTTCCGCCTCTAGGGCCCAGGTGGTGTGACTGAGCGGCAAAGGCATCCGCCTTGCACAACCTTTCTGGAAAGTCGGCCTGCCTGCTGCTGGAGGCCCGGGGCCTGTCCCGGCTCGTCCCTCATAAACTCATCCCTCCACGGCCCCTGCTCCTCTGCTGCTGATTCACAGCACGTGTTGTAGAGGTCTCTGTTCTGGCCCCTCTTTGGGCCCTGGGGACGCAGGAAAATGAAACCCAGTCTCCACCCTCAAGGATTCGACAGCACACTCTAGACATTAAGGACATCCTTTTAGTGCCACGCTGAGCATAACTGGGGTGACACAGAGGGGACACGGGTAAACACATCAGCTCCCAGCTCATGCCACCTCTTTCCTCTGAGGTCTTCAGACGACCCACCTCTTTTCTTCAGGAACAAGAAAGGTTATTATCATTGTAATAATTTGTACGCAGGGGGCCAAAGAGCCCACTGCAGAAAGCTCACTCCTGAGGAGCCAGCTCTCGGTGGCACAGCTTTCAGAAAGCACAGGACCCGAGGAGGCAATTCTGTCCATTGGAACTGTGCAGGTCGACAGTGGGGTAGGGCCCAGAGGGGCCCTGGGTTGACCACCTTGAGGAGCCCGGGACCTTCCGGCGCTGCGGACAGAGTGCTGACAGTGCTGATCATCGCAGCGGGTCTCCCAGCTGAACAAACGTCAGAGACACGGCGCAGTTACAAACAGTGGTGACTGTGCTGCCCCAAGCCCGCTGAATCTGAACTCCGGGGCTAGGGCCAGACCCTGCTTTTTGCTGTGTTCCTGGTTTCTTATTTCCCCACGTGAGCTTTTAAGGCCTGGGATGGCTTTCTAGGAGGGCCCTGGGGGGGGGCAGTGTGAAGGGGGGTGAGGGGTGTTGGTGGGAGGGGGTTTAAAGGAACTTAACTTGAAACATCCTAGGAAGCGTTCATGGGTGTGTGTGTGTGTGTGTTAAAGTAAACCAGACATAAAATTTCCATTTTTAACCATTTTGAGGTGAAATGCACGGGATATGAAATTAACCATTATACAGTGTACAGTCCAGTGGAGTTTGGCGCCTTCACAGCATTATACAACTGGCACCTCTGTCTGGTTCCAGAACATCTCCTCGCCCCGAGGTCAAATCCCGAGCCCGCGAGCAGTCACTCCCCGTTTCCCCCCAGTCTCTGAGCCCCTGGCAGCCACCAATCAATCTCCTTTCCGTCTTTATGGGTTTGCCTGTTCCGGAATTTCATGTACATAGAACCAGATACTATGTGATGCTTTGTATCTGGCTTCTTTCATCATGACGGCTTTGAGGTCCAAGCACGTGGTAGCCTGTGCCAGTGCCTCATTCCTTTTTACGGCTGAATAATACTCAGTGGTGGGTACATTGCCCTTTTTCATCCGTTCTTCAGTAGAGGGTGGGGTTGGGGTTGTGATCGTGCTGCCCAAGCCCCCACTGCAGGGGTTGCTCTGCCTATTTATTTCGGGTCTGGGTGGGGGGAGTTGGAACAGCCTTTCTCTCCTCTGAACTATCTCATATTTTGTTTTGGCTGCCAGCAACCTGCATGTGCTTATCAACATGTCAACATGATAGTGGAACCACCGTAGCCTGGGGACGCTAAACATGGGACAGGGACATTGCTTTCCATTTTTCACTCATGTCGAAACCACCGCCAGCAAAGTTCTTGCACGAGGAGAGTTAGCCTTCCTTGCAGGAATCTGGGCGTCTCGCCTGTTGGCTCAGTTTGCCCCCTCGGCGCAAGGGTCTGATGTCAGGACTGTAGTCCTGTGTCCTCGGAGCAGACTGTCTCTTCTGTTCCTCATTCAGCGAGCCTGCAGTCAACAGTGGGTGGCTCTCCGGGTTTCAGGCTGATGAAGGGTCCTGGGAACATAAGGATGACTGAGGCTGTGCGCCTGCCTTGCAGGGGTTCGCACTTTGTGTAGGAAACGAAGATAAAAACAGTTACATGCTAGTGGGAGGACCAGCAGTGGTAGCCATCGTACAGAGGCGTGTGTTCTCTGAGGGCAGAGAAGGCTTCAAAGAAGAGGCATCTTGGCAAAGGGACTTGGAAGAGGGTGAGGTCCTCGGTGGGCAGAAGGAGCAAATAAAGACACAGGGAACAATGCCAAAGATGGGGACTCGGGGGACAAGTCAGTCTGTCTAGAGGATGTTTGTGGGGAGGAGGACGGAGAAACTGGCAGCTGAGTTTCAGGACCCACATCACACGCGGAGGATGTTGGACTTCGTGCTTTAAAAGAGGTCCGTGTGTTCAGGAATTTCGAGCAGAGGTAGGAAGGCAGCTTTGGCGAGCGCACGGAGGATGCCTTTTGGTGGATGAGACTGTGAGCCTGCGTGTTTTTGCAGAGGGGTCACGAGGGTCTGATTGAGCTGAGGGGGGACGGAGAGAAGGGTACAGAGTCAGCCATTATATCCAGGGGCCGGAGTGGCCAGTTCTTGATGACTCATGGCCTCTTCTGGGTGAGGGACAGGAGCAGGGCTTCTCTGGGGATGAAGTCCAGGCCGAACTCCCGGGTCGGCTCAGGGTGGGCATCCAGACGATGCCACTCACTTTGAGACGGAGGGTGAGGAAAGGCAGGTGTTTGCTCTTGTGCCATTGTTCGCTTTGGCTTCGCTCCGAGGAGCAAAAGGGTGCCGTGTGAGAATGGGTTTTTGCTTTGGACGAAGGACTCAGGATTTCTCTGGGTCTGTCCACGTGGAGAAGCATTGCGAGGAGGCAGCTGGGAAGCAAAGACGGGAGCTCGGGAGGGAGGTTGGAGGCAGAGGCAGGCAGCGTGAGTCCTACGGGAGCTCGCAGGGGGAGGAAGGTGGGCTGGGAAGAGGGGAGTTTATGGGTCGGGGGAGACAAGCAAGTGCAGGAGGAATGCAGGCCGGCTGCAGGTGTGGTGTGGGAGCGATCCGGCCCGAGGCGGCGGAGCCGCCGGCACCCCAGTCAAAGAGGTCAGGGGGAAGAGGGCTGGAAATCGTTCGTCTCTGCCAACATTTGTTTACAGTTTGAAAAGTTATCTAGTGTTGTCTTCTCCCTCCGGTCAGCTATTTCATATTTATGGAGTTTTCTCCTTATTTTAACTGTGGGTGTAAAAATAGAAGTGCCCCACACTCTGGGGGGGTTTGTTATGTAGACTCTCTCGTAATGTGTATCTTGGTAATTCATTTTCTTATTGACGCGTCCCATAACCGCATGGCTATTAGTCAACCTCGAGATTTGACTTTGAAGTCACTCGCATTCTTTGTGTGTTTGTGTGTGTGTGTGTGTGTGTGTTACTTACATCTCACGCTTTTCATTTCAGAGCTGACCCAGATTGAGGACCCCAGAGAACAGTGGAGGCGAGAGCAGGAACGGATGTTGAAGGAATATTTAGTTGTAGCCCAGGAGGCTCTCAATGCCAAGAAAGAAATCTACCAGGTGAAGCAGCAGCGGTTCGAGCTGGCTCAGGAGGAGTACCAGCAGCTGCACAGAATGTGTGAGGACGACGGCCGCTCGTACGCCAGCTGTGAGTTGACCGCCTCCTTTCGTGAACGCGTGCCATTTAAAAGCCATTTCCCTGCTAGGTTATCTGCAAACGGCAAACTTTACTCGGGCAAGAGTGCTTCATCCATTTTTTATTCCCGTACCATTAGGTCATCAGCAGGCCGCAGTGGAATCAGATGGTCACCTGCTAGCCACTCCTTTAGCAAATACTTATCAAGTGCCCCCTGTGTGCCCAGGCACTGCGATACCGTGGCGCCTAAGAGACGACGGGCCCCTGCCCTCGTGGAGCTTACATTCAGGTGGGGAAGGTGGAAAACAAGCACCTTTCAGGTAGTGCCGTGCTACAACCTCGTGTCTCCTGTTTGTCACTGTGGAAAAGGCCTTTACCCGAGACCTCTGCAGTTAGGACTGTGCTGGGTGACCCTTGGGGAATCTGCACAATGGTTCGCATGCCATGTACCTGTCTCTCTGGAGGGTCCTTTCTTGGGCAGCACCTGGGGTGGAGGGCCTCGGCATAACCCAGGGAACCCGGGGAACTCTTTCTGCCTCTCTAGCCAGATGGACACACACTGATGCTCTCAAAGGGACCCCCTCTTAGTTTAGGAAGCTGCCAAAGGCACACCCCTGTTCCGTTAGTACCCAGCAGATACTCAGGGTTTGAAGGAGCCAGGTCCGGTCTAAGAAGTCAAAGCATTCTGTCGTTAACCCCGCCAGTCTGCCCGAGTCGGTCCCTGGCCACACGGAACAGCCCGCCACGGGTGCACGTGGCCGTGGCTGCCCTGGGTGCCAGGGAGCCTGGGGAGAATGAGGGGAACTGCTACCACTGGGTTTTATCTTAGAAAACCCAAGTCTACTTGAGACACGAAAAGACTTCCCTGTGGCGCGACTGCCATGCTGCCAGGTATTTGGCTCTGGCGACACAGCGCTGAACGTTAGAGACACAGTCAGAGCTTTTATTCTGTGCTGCAAGTCAGAATGGAGTTAAGGCTCAGGGGCCGTAGGTCTTTTTTTATGGCAGCTGTTGTTGAAGGTGAATAAGTCATGCGAGCTGTGGGGGAGAGAGAGGTGAGGCTTCTCCCCCACCCCGTAGCAGGAATTTCAGATTGTTCTCTCCCCGCACGCCTCGAGAGAACGCAGGGCCTCAGCTGTAGTGGCATGCTGTTTCCGGGTGGTTTTCTCTCTTCCTCTTCAGATATTGGCATGTCCCAGATATTTTTTGGGTTTTTGTTTTTCTATTTTAACCTCCCATCAGAATGCGATGAGTCAGCTCCGTGCTAAATTTTAGAGGCTGCTTTCTTATCTCCATAGTTTTTCTTTCTTTCTTTCTTTCTTTCTTAAAACGTGTTTCTCTGATTCTGGTATCAGGATAATACTGTCCTCACAGCACGAGTTGGGAAGTGTTCCTTCCACCTCTCTTTCCAGAAAGAGTTTGTGTGGGGATGGGATTAACGCTTCCTTGGCCATTTGCTAGGACTCACCAGAAAAGCCATCTGGGCATGGATTTCTTTGTGAGAATGTGTGTAAGTGCGGAATCAGTTCCTTTCCTAGACAGAGGTCTGCTCAGCTTCTCCGTTTCTTTCTCAACCAGTTCTAGTAGTTGTGTGCGTCAAGGCGTGGGTCCACCTCACCGGGCCCAACCATCAGTGAACTTCCCTCTCAAGGGTCAGGTAATCAGTATCTGCAGCCTCGTGGGCCACGTGGACTCAGTCGCAGCTACTTCCTCAAGCCTGTTGTCACGCTGCAGAAGCAGCCAGAGACCATGTGTGTGGCTTGTTCCGAGAGAAGTATAAAAAACAGGGAACAAGCTGGGATTAGCCCACAGGGAATTAGTCAGGTCTGTCAGCTTTTCTCCGAGTTCTCTGGTAGCTCTTTTTATTCCTGGGGGCTCTGAGGTGGTGTCCTCTCGCTTTCATTCCTGATCTTTATCGCGTGTGTCTTCTTCCTTCTCTTAATCATCCTAGCTGACGTGTTACCAATTGTATTTGTCTTTACAATCGACTGGCTGTTGGCTTACCTTTTCCCCCTATTTCTTGTCTCTTTTTATTTTATTGCTTTCTCCTCTGTATTGTTTCCCTCCTTCTACTTAGTTTGACTTTAATTTGTTCTTCCTTTGCTAGCTTCCTAAAGTGAAATCTCAGATCATTGATTTTAGACCTTTCTTATTTTCTCACATGGACTCTGTAGGTATAAGTTCTTCCCTAAGTGTCACTGTAACTGCATTCCTCAAAATTGGGTGTTTTCACTTTTTTCAGTCAGTCCAGAAATTTTCTCATTTCCTCTGTGATTTGTTTTTTGACCCATGGGTCCTGGAAAAGTATGCCGTTGGGGCTTTCTAAAGGTGTCGTGTTGTTGATTTCTAATTTAATCCCACCGGGGTCGGAGACTACACTGTGTAAGATTTCAGTTTTTTGAAATCGGTTAAGACGACTTTTACGGCCCAGCACACGGTCCCATTTAAGTGACCTCGTGGGGTGGGAAGCGCGTGTGGACTTGGCTCCTCGAAGGCACAGCCCGCTGAAGCATTGGCTTTGAACTCTTTCTGAGAGCGTTACAGTTAGCGATCCTAAACCTTTCAGAAAGTTACTCAGTAGGAGCTAGGTTGAACCATATAAAGTTGTCATTTCTGTAGCTGACAACGGGCTGAATATTGGTGATTTCATATGATTCAACCTTCAGACACCTTTTCTGTTCCATGGTCCCTTTTGGATAGGTCTCCAAAGAGGCTCTCCAATCAGTGTTTCCAAGGATGGAACGGGAGACAAGGACATATCAGGAAAACTTGAGAGGAAGTTTCTTGCCAGTGACGGAAAGGAAAGACTGCCCAGGGAAGGTGTGTCTTACCTACTGGCTACCATGTACCAGTGCAGCCAGGACGTCCGTTGCAGGGAGCTTGGGGACTCAGGACGGGAGCCCTTGAGGACGCGAATACAGGGGGACCTTTCTGCAGCCCTGGGATTCCACACCCGGCCCGAGGGGGAGCGAGGCTCTAGGTTAAGGGCATTCAGAACTTGTAGTCCTGTGGAGCTGGGACATCCACCGGCATCCATTTTCATATTTCCATGGGCTTGTACTCCCTTCGCATGTGGGCCAGTAGGGAATCACAGTCAGTTACGCTCCTTCCTGTGCTCCAGGGAGTTTTGTTAGTGCCCAGTGAAACAGAAGCTCTGAAGACGCCGTCTTCAGAGTGGGGGGTCAAGGAACCTGCAGTACAGGAAGCAGGTGACTCTGGTGTTGACTTGGAATTCTAACATGCTCATCAGTTCCATTTCCCGGCCTACTGGAAGTCTCTGCGTACACGCAGCCTCCGCATCTACTTGTGTAGGTTGCCTTGGAGGTCACATTGGGCCTGCCTGTCCTCATGAGGGGCTGGAGATGCCACTGGACCTTGCCGGGCCCTATGCCAGAGACTATGAATGGAATCTAGACTCAATCCAGATGGTTTATCAGGTTCCTGCTGTCCCTGGGGTTTTGACCAAGCTCTATCAATTTGCCATTTAACCTAAAGTACCAGACGCAATGAGGAAAACTCTTAGATATGACTCAAATGCATTCTTTTCGGCCACAAAATAAAGTTCAAGAGCGTGATCTCACTGGCTTGAATCGTCATGATCTAACCGATGTCGCCTGTCGAGGTCTGGGCCCACGTCAGGAGCTGCTGGTGGTAGGGTCCAAAGCGTTCCCGAGCCGCACGCGGCCACCCGGGTCTCTCGCAGCCTGGTCCGCTCTCAGCGCTGGTCCTCTAAAGTGGGGAGGTGTGCCCTTGCCCTGCTCCCAGAAACAGAATAGCATGTGGACTCATTTCCCATTATTCCTTCATTGTTAATGATTTGAAGCTAAGGGAAGCAATATTCAGTGAACTACTGTTTTCTGTGCATTGTTATGATTGCAACATTGTGAAGCACACATTGCAATGTTACCTTCATTGGCCACACGCGGGGCTGAATAGTGGGGAGGCTGAACTACTTGGAGGTTACATGCCTAGTAAATGGTAGAACGTGGATTTGAACCCAGACCTGGTTGTGTATGTTGTAGTCTTCAGTGCTCTGTACTGTTTCCTAGATATGGAAGAGGCAGCTTACAAGAACCGATTGTGTTTTTGGAACACCTTGCCCTCCCATTGTTCAAGTTATCTGGAATTAAAGACCGGTTGTAAGTTGACAAGTCATCTGTTTTGCAACACTAAATGGGGCAAGTGGAAGGCAGAGCACTTTCTACTTTTTGACTTTCTCATGGTCCACGGTAGGATTGCTAAACTATTCATTTAGTTTTCAGGAGATATTTATGTAGCACCTGGTGTTGCTATACTCTAAATGTTGGGGACCTAATTTATGCCTCATGGCTAATTATAGGGGGAAATGAAGCAATGGTGGTAAACAAAGGAATGAACTAGAACAGCCATTTCTCATATTGGGGCAGAAGGAGCTAGAGGAGGGCGGAGGGAGGAGAAGCTCACACCCTTCACGGAGCTTCCTGGGTTATGGAACTCACCAGAATAAAACTCCATTCATCGGAGAGAGAAGATTCCGTACAGTGTACCATCTGCTATCTAAGGATATGTAAGACTTGACTTGTTGTCCCTGACCGAAGCAGACTTAGACGCTTCGGTGGATTGGAGCGTGCCTGTCCCCAGAAGGTTAAGAGCCCAACTTTATTTGTGTGAACTTGTGAGCTAGCTGTTTGGTACCTGGGCCTGGTATGTTCTCTACAGCTCCATTTTGCAGCGTTTTCGTCTCCCTTGTTTATGCTAACATGTTCTCCTGTTTGCCTTCCTTTTCACATCAAATACATTCGTTATTTCAGAAACTTTTTTTTTCTGGAGTTACTCTTTCATTCTTCCCGAGAAACTCTAGCCTCCGGATGCGTTCAGATGAAGTATATGACCATTTACAGCATCTTTGGAAGGGATTCTTGCATGGGGTAAACTATAGTCCTAACCACAGTGCACCAAATTATGGATGGCCCACCGACTATAAAGCCTGCCCACTCAGGGTATTGGTAAATAGAGTTTCGTTGGAACTCAGCCACATCTGTTCATTGACCCATTGTCTGTAGCAGCTACAGCGGCAGAGCTGAGACGAGACAGAGACTGTATGGACCCCAAACCCCAAAATATTCACTGTCGGGCCCTTTGCAGAGAAAGTTTCCCAGCCCCTGGTGCACACCAGTCGCTCTCAATGATGCCTGGCCGCGCATGGAAATCTCCTGGAGGGCTTTTAAACCCCCTGCCGCCTGGGCAGAGATTTTCATTTAATTGGCCTTGAGTGGGGCCAGACATTTTTGTAAACAGCTCCCCAAGTGATTCCCAGAGTTGAGGTCCACTAGTTTAGATGGATTCCTTTAGCAGCAGGAATATGGCTTTATTTGTTACCTCGGCTCCGAGGAGCTCCCAGAAGTCCGCACCAGAAGCCTCTTTGGGCGGCTGGGAAAGAGTCAGCCTTATCTGTGTCGGGAAAGTGCTGATCCACCCTGAATTCCTGAGTTAGGTGGTGGTGAAGCCTGGCCTTATCAGTGATCAGCGCTGCCAACATTCCTTCTGAAGCCCCAAGGCCCTCCCACAAGGACTATCTTCCTTTAGTTCTCTGGTGAAGGGTTTCTCATCTACTATCTCGATTAGGCTTCGGGCCAAAGTCCATCCATTTAGCCTTTTGTTTTCCCTCCTCGGAGCGTGTTGGAGCAGGCAGGGGAAAATGGATCACGCAGCACTTTTCACAGGTATTAGTTGGCAAGACTCGGTCTCGAATGTCGTAGCGGGGCACACGCGTTTACCGAGTGCTCATCCCCCGGCCCGCTCTCTGGGCGTCTGGTGGCTCCTTGCCTGGCTTCTGCAGCTCTCGAGTGGGCCTGACGTTTTTGACCCTTTGCTTAGGGTGCCTTTTACAAATTTGCGTGCCCTCCTTCGCTGGCCTCAGTCATCCCTGCTCTGGTAATTAGTACCTGTCAGCGCGGAGCCGGTCAGGGCTTGCCTCCTTTCCGCCAGCCTTCGCTGGCTCCTTGGGGCAACCCCCGACAGTGCTGGTGCGGGAGCTGCCCCGGTCTTGCTTGAGCCATCGTCCGGGGGTGTCTTTGGAGAGACAGACACAGACAGACAGACACAGTTTCCCTCCTTCAGTAGCCTGGGCGATAGAAATCCATGATAAGTACTGCGGTCTGCAGCACTTGGAGTGTTAAGAGCACAGGTCCAGTTCAGCTCGTGGCAAAGCTAGTGGCTTTGGAGAGCCAGAGGGCCATTTCTTCAGCCACTGGAAAAGCTCATCTGATGAGAGGCTGTCGGATAGCCGACCCCTAGGAGGCCAAGTTCCAGACACAGGTCCCTCTGCATAATGCACATCAAGTCACTGCACACTCAAGTCCGGAATCTATAAAGTGGGGGAGCATCATCATCATCACCTCTCACAAAGCTTTTTATGAGAATAGATGAAATAAATGTGAAAGGCACCCTATAATAGCAAGGACCAATAATTTACATTGTTGTGGTCCAGATGAACTAAAACCTTGTTATTATATCATCGAAAACAAAGTGTGCACCTGAGTGGACTCCTTAAGCTATTTAATAGCTCTGCCCACTCAGCTCTTCAACAGAGAAGAAAGCTTCAGAGGTGAAAGTCTGGTATTTATCGTAAACCCTGAGATTGGAGACATGTCTTAACAGACGAAGATAGTTTTTCTCTAAATGATGTACAGCACATGCTGTTAAAAACAGAGTCTAGACTCCTGAGCTATTTCTTGGATTCCAGAAGTGGATTCCATCAGACTTACTGGCAGACATAAGGAACTGAGAATTTACATAAATCGAATTATATTACTAAAACTTAGACCAGTGTTCACAGCTCTCCTTAGCATTTGAAGATAAGGTGTACTCATGGTCTTAGGTACCTGAGCTGACTTTTCCTGCATCCCAGTCCTGGAATTTTATAATTTTAGAGGCTGTAGCAAGGCTAACGTGAATGGTGTCAATGGAAGTAACACCTAGTCTATCATTTAGGGTGGTTTCAGCTGTTAAGTCACAGGCAAGACTAACTCCCATGGGCCCAGACAGTAAGGAGGTCCTCCAAGGCGGGGTGGCTTCCCGTTGGTGGCCTCGGTGGCTCAGGGATGTCGTGTTGCATCGAGCTCTCCTTCCAGGCCGGGCTCCACGCTGAGCCTCCTTGGGGAGGGGTGGGGGACACGCAGCAGCCCCAGGGCGCTGGTCGTTAGGAAGGGAAAGGGGGGGCAGGTTGCTGTGCATTGGTCCAAGCATACCTGCCCCGCCTCCCATGTGCCTTTCAGGTCTTGTGGCAGTGATTTCAGGTCATCGCTACCGATGTCGGAACATCGCGGTTAACTTCCCTGGACTTTGGCGGTGGGGTTACTTTCTACCCCGGTGGGAAGGATCCCACGTGGTAATAGTTGGCACAGTCTTCCTCCACTGCGAGGTGACGAGTTGACACAGTGGAAGTGAGGAGTCAGCAAACCTTAGGCTCATTTGCATATTGTCTGGCTTCCAAGTGAGAGCCCCTTAAGCTCGGGTCTGAGAAACTTTTAAGTCCCAGGAGTTTAATGTGGAAATTTTATAGAAATGATTTCTGCCTCTTCAGGGCGTTGTTTGAGGTGTAGCTTTCATTACTGATCTGCAGTGAAACCAAAGAGTCAGACAAAGTAGAATTTGTAGGATTTGGAAATAGACATTCTTCATCTAAGAAGGAATTCTACTTAAAAACCATGTTATTCCATGTCTTGAGAGATTACGATTCTAAATATAAGAACATAAAGTTGGCAAACACTGAGCTCCTCCAGATATTTATTTCCAGTGGGTTCTAGAGGTTCAGAATTCTGACAGAGCAGATTTGCCATGGAACTGGTTTTTTAAAAAAGAGGCATCTCAACTGCCCAGATTAACTTTGAATATAATTAGGGCTGTTAAATAGTCTCGCTGTTGAAGCCATGTGACGGCTTTGGGCCATCCTTTGCGGTAGAAAGTCAGGACGTGGTTTTGAACCTACTTTCTAGGTGTTGGCAGCTGGTTATCTGAATGGCAGCCCTCGGTCCCCAGATCAGAGGAGTAAAAGAAAGGTTGCTGGCCCTGTGGGTGGGTATTCTGAGCAGGCGGCACTGATGAAAATGATCCGGAGGCAGAGGACACCAGTGTGGGTGACCATAGGTGAAGACAGAGGACTGTTGCACCGCCTAAGGAGGGGACAGAATGCAAGTCCCTGTAGCCCAGGGGCTGATGGCTTGAGGCGCCTCAGAGCAAGGGCAGGGAAGCATCAGGAGCTAGCCATGCTCAGGGGCGGTGGGGTGGTGGAGTGAGAAGCAGCTAGTCGCCATTGCAGCTGCCGAAATGGCAGAGGGGCTTGTAGCTTTCAGTGCGGGTGGAAACTGGCTGACTGCTTGGCACCCACAGGTGAACGTCTCTTTGTGTCTCATCTACCCCCATATATCAGCTCCACACAGAGATGCCATGGCCGTAAGGCGGTTCAGGCCTGCGCACTGCGCCATTTGAGAACACGTTTAGTGATGTGACGTACTGTAGCTAAACAGCCATCAAAAACAAGGCGCCAGAACAAAAGGTGCTTCCCTGTAGTTCGTGTGGAATAGCCTGGAAGAGTAGCTTTTTCTCAAGCCTGTCAGATACTGGCACACCACTAGAAAGTTGTCTTTTTCATTTTACGGATCTCTAGTATTTTTTTTCTTTCTTATGTCAGAAATTGTTCATCTGGGGACTATAGATATGAAGGAAATAAAAAGCAAATCTTTTGTAATGAAACCATTGAAAGTAACCACAGTTGACTTTTTGGCTCTCTCCTCCCAGAGACTTCCGTGTGTGTGCATTTTAAAAGAAAGTAAAAATGATTCATAGTACCTGTACTATTTACACAGTAAGAGCAGCTTTCCATAGTTAATCATACCTTTCCCTCCCCGTGTGTATGTGGTTTTTAAGCCTACTAGTCTTGCAGTCGGAGTGAGCACAGTTTCGATTTACCTATAGCCACCTATTTCACTCTGGGATCCTGTAGAGAGGCCTCCTGCAAAACTCAAACATCCACACTTGAGGTTGGGAAGTGCTGATCCTTTGGGAGCCAGTGCCAACTTGTAAATCTGAGACTTAATTATTTAACACAGTGAATCAGAAGTTCCTATCTGTGTGTATTCGTTTATTTCAAAGGATCCATTATAATATACGATATTTCCCTTCTCTTTAGCCTCCTCTGGATACTCAGCAAATACAAAATATGACCCACACCAGATTAAAGCAGAAATAGCAAGTCGCCGGGATAGGGTGAGTAAAACACATGTTCTCGCAACCACATGCCCCGTATGTATTTTTATGTGACATCACTTATCCGGGTTTATTTTGGGGTGGTCAGTGTCTCTAACACTCACAGTTATTTCATAAGGTTTTCGATTTCATGGACCACGATTGCATTTGGTTGTGCTCTCCACTTGTCTCCAATAGGAGGGGAAATGTTGCATTTTAAAACCTCAGCCCATCTAACAAAAGAGTCGCCTGTGTTCCTGTGTGTACCCACCTTTCTCCCCCTCGGCCCCTGGTCTTGGTTGCCGGGGCGGGGGTGGGGGGGTCTGTTTTGTTGCACTGGCCTGGAAGCCTGGGAGACACCTTGGAGATGGAGCCTCCTGCTGTGGTTGGCGCCTCAGCCCCTAAAGCAAGGGGCATCTTTTGGGGTAGTGGCTCCCAAATTCTGGTGCACCTAAGGAAAGCACCCCGAGAGTTGGTTAGCCAGGCACGCTCCCGGGCCTACCCTCTGAGCTTTAACACGGGCCCGGGGCGGGTCCCAGAACCTGCTTAAATAAGACCGTGCTCTCAGCAGTCGGCCTTCATACCGGGCTCTTGTGAGTAGCAAGTAAAAGGGAAGATGGACAAAGCGTTACACAGTTTGCTAATTGTAACAAGCAAATGGATACCTCGGAAAGGAAAATAGTTGCCATTCCACCTGCCTTGGAACAGTCTGGGACTCTCGAAGCAAGCAAAGCAAGCAAAGCAGTTCATTCTTCCAGGGTGGCTGTTTTTTATGCGTGTGAATGGAAGTTCATGGAGACAGTAGATGATACAGTGAATGGCAAGCTAATCAGAAAGTTCAATGACAGTGATAACAACAACTGTAGAAATAATTTTTCACAGCAAGCTTTGGTGAGAAACATGTTATTTGTCTTTAGCTTTCCAGGCTGAAGCGCGAGCTGGCCCAGATGAAGCAAGAGCTGCAGTACAAAGAGAAGGGGGTGGAGACCCTGCAAGAGTGAGTTGCCTGCGGCTGTGGGAGGGAGCGTCCCGCGATTTCCTTCTGGGCTGACCTCGCCGGCGCCTGGACAGGCGCCCTGACACTTCTGGGGCGCCCGCTTCCGCGCTTTCGCCAATGCCCCTTCGTTCCCAGCCCTGAGCCACCCTCAGAATCTCTCTTTTCCTTGAGGAGTCTTCATTCCTTTAAATGACACTACTGGGGAAATGGGACCTTGATTTTATATTTATGCACATTCTCGAGAGCTGCACGTGGCTGTTTACATTTGAATTCCAGTTTCGTTAGTTTTAGTCTCTTACATTTTTCAGTTCTAAAGGTTAAAATCAAATGAATTAAAATGAAATTAAAAATTACACCCCCCAGTCTCAGGAGCCACATCTGAAATGCTCAGCAGTTACATGTGGCTAGTGTAGACTCTCTGCCTCGGCACCACTGACGCTTTGGGCCAGGGAGCTCGCTGCGGTGGGGCTGTCCTGTGCATCATGGGATGTTTAGCAGCATCCCTGGCCTCGGCCCCCTAGATGCTGGTAGCACCCTCCTGCCCACTTGTGACAGCAAAAACTGTCTCCAGACTTTGCCAAGCGTTCCCTGGGGGGCCCATTTACCCCCCAGTTGAGCCATTTGCCCCAGTGGGCTAGCGGCTATTGCATTGGACAGCACAGTTCATGGACTATTGCCACCCTCGCAGGCCATTCTGTTAGACAGTCTGGTCTTCCTCCTGTTGGCATCTTCACAATTAAAACTTCATCCCTGCTAGGAGTTTGGGGATGAGTTTCTTATTATTTGTGAACTTTATTATGTCAGCAAATTCAGTGCACAAAAGTTATTTTGTAAGCCGTGATCTCGTTGGTCTGCAAGAATTAATTTTCTCAAGAAAGGGTATCATGTGCTTGTCGGTGAAGCTTCTCTCCTCCTTCAGAGCCTGGCCTCACGCGCTGCACTTGGGCATGTGCGTCCCCACTTCTGTGCCTCCCCTTCTCACGGTCGGTGGGGCCTGCCTTAGCTGGCCGGGCTGCTGAGCACCATAGACCTGGGGATGTAAACGGGAGACATTTCCTTCCCACGGTTCCTACTTCTTGCTGCGCCTTCACGGGGGCGGGGGAGCTCTGGCCTTTGATATCTCTTCCTTTTCTTCTAAGGCTGCTAATCCCATTTTGGCGCTCCACCCTCAGGACCTTAGTATCTGGGTCCAATGGCCACACAAGGCCTCAGCTCCCAACACCATCCCATTGGAGCGGGGCTGGAACGATCCAGTCCCTAGCAGCTTGCCCAGAAGGCAGCCTCAGCAGACGGCAGGAACTGCGGGGTGGGGCTCTCGGCGAGGCGCGCAGCGCGCCTCTCTCGGGCATGCTGTGTGCAGATGCAGTGGCGGCGTCAGATGTGACTCCACCATTGCTCTCTGTAGGGAGGTGCTATGTGAATGTGAGCATTTGACAAACGTAACTATCTCTGCCTCACATAAAGGGTAATTACCGGGCATGTCAAACCTTGTGGTTTAACACTAGGTTCAGCTTTGCTTTTTGAATCATGCAGGATTGATTTGGGTGATGATTCATTTGTCCATTTCTTTATGAAGGGCATGTTATAGGTACCTGGGCAGACACAACAGAAAGGTGAGCTGGGTCCTGTCTGGAGGGGCTTGGCTCTCCCTGGTGCTGACGCCTGGCCCTGCCCCCTGCAGGCCCTGCCCCCTGCAGGCCCTGCCCCCTGCAGGCCCTGCCGGGCGGGCGTGGACTTGGGTGCACGCTGAGTGTGAGCTGGAGTCTCACCCTGACAGCCAGCCTTTCTCTTTCTGCCCCATTCCCCAGCAGTTCGTGTGCTCATTCTCCTGCAGTTTGGATGTGCAGTGGGGCTTCCTTAAATTAGCCTCAGTCACTGCAACTTTTCAAAAGTTTTGCTTAAGCAGATTAAGCGGCTTTTTCCATATCAACCACCAGTGTCGTCGCTCACTTTTTCCATTTGCGGCAGTGTTTCCCATTGCACTGCTGCGTGCTCGGTAATTTTACCCCAAGGTAAAATTGGGGTACCCCCAGGTACAGCCCAGCCAGCCGCCAGAGCATGCACACCTGCCAGGGTGCTTCTGGGTGTGCGGTGGCCCCGCCCTCCCGGTCACCTCTGCTAAGGGGCCGGGTAAGAAGTAAGCAGAACCAATCATTTCATTTGGTAGGTCCTGGAGAGTCGCTGGGGCTCGCTCGTTGAGTTGGAGTCTGCTTTCCTCCTCTCATGTGGCCATTGCGCTCTCTCATTACCGGGGAGAATCCCGACCTGGGGATGTCTCTGGATGGCACTGACTTTTCATGCGAGGCATCCCGTGGGCTGTGCAGGTGATCAGCGTTCAGGGCGGCTCAGGAGCGCTGGGAGGGGCACAGGGTCCCCGAGCCTCAGAAGGGAGTCTGTCCGACACCATCCCCCGCCGGCTCTGGCTTCCGGAGCGGGGTTCCCAGGCCAGGGCGCCTGTTCCTCTGCCTGGCTGCAGTCAGTCTGGCCATCTGCATTGCCTTATTCGAAGACAGACGTCGTATTGCCATGTCAGCTAAGATGGAACACTCCGGAATAATGATTTTGAACCAGTATGCTGTAAGGATTTTTAAATGCGCAATACCTGAGTATTTGGTGAGGGGCACTGAGCTCTTTTCCCTTCGATTGTCAAAAAATGCCAGCAGCCAACACTACTACAGTAGCCATTCAGTGTGAATGAATCAAAATTTTACCTATTTTTGTTCTGTTGTCAAAAATAGGTTATTTTTTTGCTGTGCCACAGAATTTCAGTAATGACTTCATGTGTGTCCTGAGATAAAAAAGGTTACAAATTGCCGGTGAAGAAAATAAAAAGTGCCAGGGCTCAGGCTCTCGCCATTGCTAGGAAGTCAACTCAGCTCCTACTCGAAGCAGCTTTAAGAATAGGAAGGCGCAGCCTCGGTTTCTCCGGGTTGACCGGGCAGGAAGCAGAAGCCGGTAAGGGGCGAGCTGTAACTTTACACCTGCGGCCGGCCGGCGTGGGGTATGAGCGCAGCTCCTGCCCGCGCTGCCTGCGTTTTCTTTCTGCTTTCTGCAGGAAGGTCCTAGGTTCGGGAGCAGCGAGGGTAAACAGGCCCCCAGCCAGGGGACAGTCGTCACTTCCTGCCAGGGCCTGGTGGAGGCTGAGCGGCATGGGGGGAAGTTGTGGCCCTTCCCTGGGTCCTGAGAGACCCACCCCAGCTTTCCAGACGGAGCAGCCTCCAGAGGCAGCGTCTGATCAGATGGCGTGTTGTCACTGTACGTGTTCGCTCTCCTCTGTGACACAGCCTCACGGCTTCAAGTTCTTGGCCAGTGAAAGTCACCTGGTCCCTTCCTCCGAGTTACACAGGCTATGCGTGAGCTGGAGACAGCCTCATTATTTCTTGGGCACTAAAGGTGGGCTCTTGTGTTTGGATTGGATCAGGCAGCGTGATATTATTTATTGGGAAGTTTTGAAAGCCTTTGGTGGGCATTGATAAGGTGATTGCCCCGCCCCAGCTGCCAGAGTCTAACTCTAGGAACAGAGAATACACGAGCTCTTGTCAGTAACCAGGCTTCTCAGACATTGTTGCCAGCCTCGATTTGAGGCAGGGACCCTAGGTTTGCCTCCAGAACCATTCCTGCTGTTCTCGCTTCCCAGAATATCCAGTGTATTCTTTTCCAGAGCACCTCACCAGGAGTTTGGCCGCTTATAACATCTTAAACTCAACTTGTTTATCTTGGTGAACTTTCCTGGCCAGCAAGAAAATCCATCATTACGCTTGGGTCCAAGTGAGGAAAAAAGAACCTTTTGTATTTTTTTTTAAGTCTATGTATGTTGTTAATTTTTGTGGATGGGAGCTGGCCATGAGCACAGTCTCTGGGTTAATGATAGAATATGTATGTGTGTGTGTATTTTATATTTATATTATATTATATATTATATATATGTATGTGTGTGTGTGTATATATTATATATATATATAATATATATATAACCTTTTAATGTTGGAAAATGTCAAACCTACACAAAAGTAGAGAGAATAGTATAATGGACCCCCTCCAGTATCCCTCATCCCACCCCAGCAACTCACACACAACAACCCATCTTGTTTGTCCTCACGCTGCATCATCCCCTAAGCTGTATCCCCTCGCTTCTTGAAGCAAATCCCAGCATCATATTTAATCCATAAATCTCTCTCCCAAACTTCCGGACTCCTTTGAAAACATGACTATAACACCCATACCCCACCTCATAGTAATCTGTGTCTTCGTATTTTCCCTTGCCCAGCAAGTTTGCCCATTTCCCTAGTTCGTTTGGGTTCAGGTTCACTGAGGCCCACACAGTGTGCCTGGCTGCTGTGCCTTCTCCTCGTCTCTCCTCCCTCTCCTGTGTTTTCCTCTCTGAGAACTTTGTCGAGGCAGCTAATTTGCCCTCCTACTAGAATTTCCCCGACAGTGGTTTTGGCTGCTTGAATGCACGCGGTGTCGTTCGGCTATTTATCCAGACTGGGGTCATCAGTTTGCAGGGCATCTCCTGGTTCAAGCTCAGTTTCTTTTTCTTCCCTTTTTTGGGGGGCACGTATGCTTTGTGGGTGCGGGTATTACTTTCATCAGGAGGCACACACTGTCCTGTGGTCTGTTTTTGCGGCGTGGAGATGATTGGTAGGCTCTGTCATTGTCTGCTCGGCGTATCCATTTATAATGCTGCCCGTCAGCTTTCCGCCTGGTGCTGGGCACATGTAGATACAGAAGATTTCAGCCCAAGTTCCCGAAACTGGGTTTGCTGGGTCAAAAGGTAAGTGCCTCACCGGTGTTATTAGGTATTTCCAAATTCCCCTCTCTAGGGGTCGCTCCACTGTGCATTCCCAGCACGAATCGGTGAGTGTTCCTGTTCCCACGGCTTTGCCAACAGAATGTGGTGTCAGGCTTTTGCGTTTTTGCCAGTCTCACAGGTGAGAGATAGTATCTCGGTGCAGTTGTCATTTGCATTTCTCTCGAGGCCCTTTATAAAAGTCTTCAGA